CAATGCAGTACGTTTTGTTTGGATTATGCACAAGGAAGTGGGAAGATCGAGGGCTGACGGAGGAACAGATATATCCGCGCCTTTGAAGTAGGCCGCAACCCGTCTTCCTCCAAATACGAACTACATGTCCGCCTACGCACACTCAAGAACGGACCCGTCATACGAAACCGATTACGACTCCCGCACCCTGTCAAGACTGACATACGAATTTGCGTCATCGCCGCCCCCGATTCGAAACCCGCTGCTGAAGCACGAGCAGCTGGTGCTACGCTTGTAGGCGAAGACGAGGTTTTCAACCAGATTAAAGAGGGGAAGATCGATTTCGAGCGGTGTATCTGCCACATTGATAGTCTGCAAAAGATGAACAAGGCGGGGTTGGGAAGGCTGCTAGGTCCCAAAGGCTTGATGCCGAGCACAAAAGCAGGAACGGTCGTTACGAACGTGGGCGTTACTGTCCGAAATATGACTGGTGGTAGCGAGTATCGAGAACGCCTGGGTGTGATTCGTATGGCAGTTGGACAACTAGGATTCACGCCAGAAGAGATGCAGAACAACATCAAGGGATTCATGGATGCGATAAAGAAGGAAATGGCGCAAATGAGCGATCGTATCACCAAGGAGATTCACGAAGTGGTGCTTAGCTCGACGAACGCACCCGGTTTCACGTTGAGCGGGGACTTTAAAGGACCGGACTCGATATCACCAAAGGAGTTGAGTGGGCCTTTGTAAATGTAGCTTTCTGGGGTGTATGAACAATGTACCATACCGAACGCCGTCGCTATGCTGGACAATGTCTTCTCTTATGGTGACTTGAGTGTTTTGAGGACCTTGACTGCCTCAGCAGATTCCTCCATGTCCGCGTATATCTTCATAATTTTCATCACGCGACCAGCGTCAGACTTAATAGCAGTCTTGGCCTGCTGCAGTGCAGTACTCAGGTCCATCAACAACGTACTCCGCACCTTTGCTATTCTGGCCGCCTGGGCTACCACGAATGGATGCTCGCCCAGCTCTTTCTGCAATCCCAGCACCAACCGGTAGTGCACGACATTCCGCCTCAACTTGGCGACCGACACGCCGTAACCCTCTTCTTCCTCGTCTTCATCTTCCTCGTCCTCGCTATCCGAGACCTCTTCTCCGAGGATGATCGTCTCGTGCCCCGCCGTCTCAATCAAAAGTTCAGCCTCCAATTCTTTGAGTCTAGCGTCGTAGTCGACCAGCCGCCTCCCCAAGTCAATCTTGGCCCTAACGTCTCTCCTCTCTTGTAGCAGCTCCCCGACTTCTTCTTCTCTCTTCCCCACCACACCGGCCAGGCCGTCAACTTCCTTCCTGAAGCCCAGCAGTCCTACTCGCACCTCTTCTACCTTTTCTTCGCCGCCGTGTAGACTGTTTCCCAAATTGAGGAAGTCTTGGTAGTTGCTGTTGACGAGGTCTAACAGCTCCTTTGAGAGAAGCTGCGATCGCGACCGCAATTCTGAACGCAGGTCTTCGAGGGTTTGGTGTCGGTTGTGGAGCGTAGAGAGATATGTTGCCGGTGAGAAGTTTGGCGCTAAGAAGTCTGATCGGCGGAGGGGCGTCGCGAAGGGGAGGGTGGAGAGGTTGTCTTCGTCGTCATTATCGTTGTCGCTGGATGCGGAACGCGAGTCGTCGCCGAACTGGAGGACGCGGGTCAGTCGCAAACTCGCGTCATCTTGCGCACGATAAGGAAAGGCTCTTGGGATTACGCACGTAGAAGCGACTCATAGTTGTTGTCTCAGCTCCATGTAGAGGGTCCTGCGAGAGGCTGTGTGTGTGTTGCCAGAAGTCCAAATAGAGCTATCGATAAGGTTGCAGCTTCGGAAATGAACCGAGGCCTCGGAACTCGACACGCATCTCATGGTTTGTAATGCACGCCATCTAGCGGCGTGGGGCAAAGCAAAGCGAAGACGTCAGTCGCCTTGCCTCCAGTAGCATTTACCCTTGATTCTGTATCTGAGTGCCCCCAGAATCTCAATACTACCAATTCGAACCTTTCTTCCACAGCATAGTGTGCACGGCCAAGAGACGTCATAGTATACCAGACGATGCCACCGCAACCTGCGCTTCCCGAGCCAGCGCATCCAGAAGTAGATTCGATGCTGAGCCGTCGATTCGGAAAGGAGGTTGCCAACTACTTCTCTGGTACCTAGATAACCCACCTATACCCCTTCTGCAACCCGTTCCTGACATGATTATGCAGGCTCCCCACTCAATCGCGTGGGCTTCCTGCGTCCCGACCACCAATTCCTCTCCTCGGCACTCAATCATCCCAGCACAACCTTCTTGCTATTCAACAAACTCGAGCCCCTTACAAAATCTGGGTCGGAGCTCGCCCGCTGCACCTTTGCCGACGTAAAACCCCTCATCGGCGAGAACCCGTTCGAGAAGTCGGAGGAAGAAGTCATTGCGCAGTACAACTCGAGCTTGTACGTTCCGCAGATAATCTTCTTGGGCCTGGACGAGCGGAAAGATGGATTCAAGTACAAGGAGCATTACAAAGGACAACCCTGGTTCGCCGTCGATGTCACACCCAAGGATAGTGTGAAGGAGAAGGCAGAGGAACTGCTGGAGCGAATGACAAGCACGGGCTTGGAGTTTAGTAAGGGTAGAATGAACCTGAGTCTGCAGGCTGAGGAAGGTGCGTTACCGTTGATCCATCTTGACTAGTCTCTGGGAACCTTGTCTGACACTCTACAGCGGCCATCTATGCGGAAGCCCGGCATCTCCTCGATTGGAACGAACGGAACCCTTTCTGCGCTTCTTGCGGCTACAAGACTCTCTCAGTCAACGCCGGTTTCAAGCGTACTTGCCCGCCCAAGGACATCGCGTCCGAAGTCAACCAAGGCGAACGCCCACCCTGCGCGACGCGAACCGGTATTTCGAATCTGTGCTTTCCTAGAACCGACCCCACAGTCATCATGGCGGTCGTATCTGCCGATGGTACAAAGATTCTACTAGGACGCCAGAAGCGCTGGCCTGCCCACTTCTACTCCACACTAGCTGGTTTCCTCGAACCCGCTGAGAGTGTCGAAGAAGCCGTACGTCGCGAAGTCTGGGAAGAATCTGGTATCCATCTCGGTCGCGTTGTTATCCACAGCACTCAGCCATGGCCTTACCCTGCCAATCTCATGATTGGCGCAATTGGGCAGGCCATTCCAGATGGAGAAACGATTCACCTCGGACATGACGCTGAGCTGGAGGACGCGAAATGGTTCACAGCAGACGAAATCAGAGAGGCGCTTCGCATTGGTACTAGTGGACTTGGAGATGACGCTGGGCCAGAGTACAAGGAGGGTGGACTGAGATTGCCGCCGAAGACTGCCATTGCAAATCAACTGATAACGGCTGTAGCTAATGGATTTGCAAGCGGGAGCCCCATGATTTAGATGTCCACGCTCAGCTATAGATAGACGTTCTAGAGGGTACGTTTTGTACAGTGTAGTTGTAGTACAATATAGAGGGGATAATCACGCAGACGCGTGTTATGTTGAACATTCATGTTATTGCATCATGTATATGTTTCTGGTCTTCTACTCCAGTACGATGTATCGGCGCAACCGCTCGGGTATCGCATCATACAGCTTCTTCTGCTCCAGCCACTTCTTCGAGAAGAGGCGATCAGCATATCTGTATGCACCATCACACAGTAAAGTGACGACAGTTGATCCCTTGCCCATCTTCTCTGCCACCTCCTTGGCTGCCACGACGTTGAGGCACGAACTTGCGCCTAGGTATAGACCCTCCTCGTCCAGACATCTGTATACCATCTCAATGGTCTTCTCGTCGCTAATGTGTACTGAGCCGTCCAAAAGGTCAATATCAGGTTTCAGGTTCTCTGTTACGCGACCCTGGCCAATGCCCTCGGTTATCGAACCACCAGCTCGTTCCTGAAGCTTGCCGCCACTCTGTATGTAAGAGTGCAGTACCGAACCTGGAGGGTCAGCTAGGAAGCTCTTGACCCTTCCGCCACTCTTCTCCTTTAGGTACCGCGTCACGCCCGCAAGCGAGCCTCCAGTGCCGGTAGCGCAGGTAAAAGCGTCAAGCTTTCCACCTGTCTGATGCCAGATCTCAGGTCCGGTAGTCTCAATATGCGCCTGCCTGTTCGCCACATTGTCAAACTGATTCGTCCAAACCGCGTTCTCTAATCTATCCGCATGTCGCTTGGCCTGATGGTTGTAGTTCTCCGGATTGTCAAACGCCACCGCTGGTACCGGGTATACCTCCGCACCGAGTAAGCGCAACAAATCAATCTTTCCCTGCGATTGCGTGTTGGGCATGTAGATTACCAATCGGTATCCTTTTGAGCGACAGACGTGTGCAAGACCAATACCAGTGTTTCCGGCGGTGCCTTCGATGACTGTACCGCCAGGCTTCAAGAGGCTCTGGCGCTCAGCGTTTTCGACGACGAAGAGGGCGGCGCGGTCCTTGACGGAGCCACCGGGATTTTGGAATTCGGCCTTTCCGAGGACGTTGCAGCCGGTCTCTTCGGAGAGGCGCTTGAGACGGATGAGAGGAGTTTTACCGATCGCTGTACCGACGGGTCAGTATAGATTCTCTGGGTATGCTTGTCAAGTACGGTACCATCCAGGAAACCCCGCTGTCCAATGCCTTGGGCTTGCGAAATGTTGATGGCGGTTTGTTGTGCAGCCTCTATCTGGCTGAGGCTTTCAGCATTCCGCCATGCCGTAGCGGCGAAACTCCGCGCTGCTGTCCTGAACATTGTTGCTTTACAGAAAGAGGCAAACAAGTCAGCATGGGAAAGTTGGAGTACTAAAGATTCACGATGATGCCATTCGGCTGATCGGCGAATCAACGCGCTCTCGCCCGATGTCGCAACTGCAGGACCCCTGTCGTCCTGAGACCCCTGCAGCCACGAGTTGTTGCCGCGTGGGGTCACGGTAAACAGTCGAACAACAACACCGACGCCCGCATTTGCATGTCAAGACCTCGCGACAAGGCAATCAACTAACGACCTCGTCAACATGGTCGGCCGCACATCGACACGTGCACCGCGAACATCGACCTCTTCGACGACACGCACCACCAAGTCCACGCGCGCATCGTCCGCCAGGCAGTCCTCGAACGCAGTCGAAATCCCCGATGAGGGCCCCGTCACCTCCCTCCGAACAAACATCGCCCAGGTCTTCAGCGATGCGCAACGGACGACTGCAACACAAAGGAAGCTCATCGTAAACCTCAGAAAGATACAGGAAGCATGCTGCTTCGAGCCACCAGACACTGGCAAGGGCGGGAAGAAGTCAAAGGGCGAGGAGCAGGAGGACTTTGATGAGGAGGAGTTCAACACCGAGGTAGTACGATGCGTACTGAGGATTATGGCTGTCAAGAAGAGCGAACCCGTCGGAGACAGGGTCATCCGTTTCTTGGGCCTATTTCTGAAGCATGCCTCTGAGAAAGATCAAACCATATTCGCTGCCGAGTCGGAAGAAGAAGCCACGGCATTCCACGAAACGCCCAGCAGTCGGCTGACCTCGAACATTCTCACCACCATTCTCGCCCTCCTGACGGCAAAGGACAAGACGGTCCGTTTCCGAGCCACACAAACGGTCGCGCACATCGTAAACAGCCTCACAACCATCGACGACGATATATTTGACCTAATAAGATTGGGTTTCTTGAAGCGTCTGCGAGACAAAGAGCCAACAGTGCGCGTGCAGGCCATCTTGGGCTTGGGTCGTCTGGCCGGTAATGATGATGAAGAACAAGACGACGAGGATAGCGATGATGAGGCCGCCGGTGGTATACTCGACAAGCTTTTGGACATTATGATCAACGATCCGAGTGCCGAAGTGCGACGCGCTGTTCTGCTGAACCTACCGCTGTGGCCATCCACCCTCCGTTACATCCTGGAGCGAGCTCGAGACATGGATGCTACCACTCGCCGGTTAGTGTACGGCAAGATCCTACCTGCGTTAGGAGACTTCCGTCATATGTCTCTTGTCGAGCGTGAGAAGCTCATCCGATGGGGTCTCCGCGATCGAGACGACCTTGTCCGCAAGGCTGCTGCCATCCTGTTCCGTGAACGCTGGCTCGAGGACTGTGCCTCTGGGCGCGATACCCGACCAGAAGAGGAGAAGAAGCCAGGAGATGTCGCTCCGCCAAATCTAGAAGCACTTTGCGAGCTTCTTGAGCGTATCGATGTCACCAGATCTGGGGAAGAAGAGGGCATGGCTCACGAAGCGATGCGTCAGTTTTGGGACGGCCGGCCAGACTACCGCAAGGAAATCACATTCGATCATGAATTCTGGAACAACCTCGATGCACAGACAGCCTTTATTGCCCGCACACTAAACGATTACAGTCACAGCACTGATGACGAGAGAGTGCGAAGCATGATCGAGGACAAGATGCCAGAAGTCACCATGTTTGCTTTCGTCCTACAGAGAGAGCTCAACTCTCTGATGGAATTGGTGGACAAGGTTGCTGTCCTGGAAGAGAACGACCCAGAGACCGAAGAAGCGCAAGAAGACGTCGAGGAGCAAGACTTCATTGTTCAGCAACTGCTCCACATCGCTCACACCCTTGACTATACAGACGAGATGGGGCGTAGGCAAATGTACAACATCATGCGTGAAGCCATTGCCAAGGCTCAGCTGCCGGAAGAGTGTACTAAGCTCGCCATCGAGGTGTTGCGCAAGGTCTGTGGAGCCCGTGGCGAATCAGACTTCTGTGCTCTCATCGTAGAGGCCATTGCGGACGTCCGCGACTCTTTACTGGATTCCGACGACGCTACAGTCACTGGCGAGGACGCTGAAGAGAGCTTCCATTCTGCGCAATCTGATGCCGAAGGGGATGCACCGTTGATCAAGCCCAAGACCGCAAAGGCTTCCGAGAATCTCTCCGAGGAAGAGAAAGAAGAGCGACAAATCCGCGAAGTTATGGTGTACTCAAAGTGTCTGCATATTGCTCAATGCACACTTCAGAACGTGGAAGGCGATCTGGAGTCAGACACATCGCTCACCAGCATCCTTAACACACTCATCATCCCTGCTGTTCAAGCTCATCAGGCCATGATACGAGAGCGTGGTGTCATCTGCTTGGGTCTGGCAGCCCTCCTTAGCAAGGTAAGTCAATCATTTTATTCCCACCCATGAACTTTTACTAACAAGAAGCAGGACCTCGCTGATAACAACCTCGATCTGTTCTTCCACTGTTTCATGAAGGGCCACGATGCCCTCAAAGAGATCGTCATTCAGGTTCTGACAGATGTAATCATCACACATCCTCAGCTTCTCACGCCTACGATACCAGACCCAGATGCCTCGACTGAGGATGCAGAGCCCATCACAAACCCACGAATCCGCCCCGTTACCAAGATCTTGCTCAAGGCTTTCAGTTCGGATAACAAGCGCATCGGCCTGATCTCTTGCACCGCAGCCTCCAAACTTCTCCTGCTGGGTATTCTGCCTCCTCTATCGACCACCGAAGTCCTCAAAGCCTTCACCCTGACGTACTTTGACCCCGAGACGGCGTCGAATCCTGCTCTGAGGCAAGCACTCAGCTACTTCTTGCCCGTGTATTGTCACTCCAAGCTCAAGAACGCAAAGCTTATGGGCGAGATTGCTGTGCCAGTGATCTCAAAACTACTCATCATGCGCGATGACAACGTCGAGGACGAAGATGTAGACGAGATGGTGGGCTGGCCTGTCATCACTGCCCATCTTGCCGAATGGACCGATGGACGTAAGGTCGTTGGCGCAACTGAACTTGGTCTCGACGGAAAGACAAGCACCATTGCCGAAGCTGAAGAACCGCATGTCCAGCTCGCGATCGACATTTTGGAACGCGCATTGACAAGTACATGCTCGAAGGACGAACGAAAGCCTTTAATCTCACTGTTGGGCAAACTGTTCATCGCGCCTTCTGGCCCAATTCCCAAAGGAGAAGAGGGCGCACTCGACGAGGAAACCTTCCGCACCTTACACGAGCTAGTGTCTGAGGCTGTAGAAGGAAAGATCGGCACAGACGCTACTCAACGCAACGCATTGATCAAGCTGGAAGCTACGCTAACTAAGCGACTCGGCGAGACTACACAAGTGCAAGACACGGATGTAGAGCGCACAGCCACACCCGAAACGACTGCTGCTGCCGACGCAACGGAACTCAACGAGGAGGAGACTGAGGGCGATGCTACTGAAGTCTCTGCATCGCGGAGTCAGAGGAAGTCTAATGTGACGCAGGTCGACGACGAAGAAGAGGAGGAAGAGGAAGAGGATGAAGACACTATGCTAGCGGGTATGCAGGGTGAGGGCACGCGTATGCCTCTTGAGGACGACGACGAAGAGGAGGAAGAAGACGATGCTGAGTCTGAGGCTGGACACAGCACATTGACCGTTGGCAGGGATGACAGGAGACGGACACAAGTGACCGAAGACGATATCATGGAGAGCCTGTTGCAGAGCGAGATGGATCACTCTGCGTAGTCTCTTTGTTTCTCTTTCTCGACCTCTCTGGGTTGACGGCGTTACATGGTCCCATTGGCCTCTTCTCGGCATATTTTGTCTTGATCATAAAGGAGCTCCGGTAGTGCGCAACGAGTTCATGAATGCAGAAACGTCTTATGATACTTCTTTCCAATCGTCCAGTCACTGCTAGACGTACTGCGCGCTCTGTGTTCATTTCAGCCTCAATTCAGCATCATCAACCGCTCATTCACATGCATCAAGATGACCATCGTAGAAGGGTACTCATTACCTCCTGCACTTTTGAGAGATCATTATATAGAATTCAAGAGGGGGTATACTACAAACTGCTCCGGAAATGACGCCATCAATACCCTTCGCCAAAATATACTCTCGGAATCATCACGTAAACTCATACCAATCATCGTAGACCACGATCTGGTCTAAGGCCAGTTCCATCATCTCAAACTGCGTCAAGACCATCAAGAAAACACCCCTTGCACATGCGCCAGTACTTTTGTACATGTTTCACTCCTGCTGTCCAATCTGCATCCCTCTTCCGTTATGACGTCCCATAGTCTGCGCTCAGCGTCGTATCCTAGGTCTTCCGTCATGTCTTTGTTCGGGCCCCACATCCTGTGCGGACCGTCGTCATCCCCATACACTCGTTTATCGTCTAGCATCTTCGCCGGGTCAAGCTTGAGATTGTTTTGATGCAGGAAGAGGATCGATGGTTTATGTGGGGCTTTGAGTATCCTGTCATGTCCCTTCTCGATCTCGGTATTTGGTTTCGCAAGGTCGGCGTCTCGCCAGAGCGTTTCGGTGTGAACATGGCTGCGCATTGGAATAAGGTATTCGTAGTCGAGTGTCGGGTCTGCTTGCGCGATGCCGGTGCCCCTAAAAGTGCCATTCATATGGTTGCCAAGAACACTGGGGGGTGTCTGGACTTGGTAGTAGGGCAGGCCAACTGCGAGTGCTGCCTGTACAAAGGTTTCTTTGTCGCCAGCACCAGGGCTGCCTTGGCTAAGAAGGATGTAATAGTAGTCTGGACCGTAGTAGTTGTAGTACACCATCATGAGGAGCGACGCGCGGTGGATGTCTTTGTTGATGAGAAGCTGGCCGCTCTCGGTAGAAAGCCTCGATTGAGAGGCGACTTCTGGTATCGCGGCGATATGATAGTAATGCGAGGATATCGTCTGAGCCCAGAAGTCGGGCCAAGTGACTAGGCCATGAGTCGTATATGGTGCGGCGGAGAAGAGTTTGGTGGGATCCTGGGTCGGGAATGCGTCGCTATCAAGGAACAGAACATGCTGGAAGGATGAGAAAAGGATGGAGAAGATCTTGTACTGGTAGTGGTTGGGTGGCTTCGCGTTTGTGGCTGTGTCGTAGATGTTCGATAAGACAACACACCGGGCGTTGAGGGACGGTAGGAGGGTGTCGCATATCTCCGGGTCGTACTTTGTCCAGTCATCAATAAAAACTTCCATGGGTAGGTCGCAGCCAGTTCTCCGCAGCATGCGCAGCGACACTAGGAAAATCGGCATGTAGAAGATGTCTGCAGTGGTGACAATCCCCGTTGTGCCTTTGGCAAATGGTAACTTTGGTGCCAGAAGTTGTGCCCATCTACGCATGGTATAGTGAGACTGGAATAGAGCAGTCTCCTCTTTGTCGGTGAAGTCCAGCAACTTCTCAGGATGCGCTTGATGTGGTTCGAGAGGCAGAAAGTTCTTCACCAGTGCATCGCCGTCGCCTTTGAGGCGTAAGGCCTCGCATTGCGGCTGCGACTCTATTAGAGCTGTGACAAGGTCCGACCAGAACTCTCGCACAGGTGCGCCGAAGGTGGAGCTAGCGGCAGTGAGGTTTTTGCCCGTCAATAAAGGCATATGCAAGGCATTCGACCCATAATAGCCATGTGGGAGAAAGAAGATGCCGCATGTAAGAAGGAAGAGCGGGATGACGATGAGTCGCGGTATCGAGGGGACGGATACGAGCATAGTCGCGGGTGGATTGCTATCGTCGGAGGAAGTCCATGGAGGTGGATAATCGGAGTGGAGGACAATGACAGAGGAAGCCCAGGTTCAATATGAAAAAGAGGGGTGAGAGAGCGTTCAAGTGAAATTACTGAGCGTCAGCATTGCGTGAAACCTGCCAAACCAATAGAAAAAGGTGTGTGGCGTTGGTAAGATAAGAAGCTACGACCCGCTCATGCAAACGGTAGGCAACGACAGTGCGGCTTAGTGGAGGCACAGTCCATAGACGGCTAGAGTCCATATGGACGATGAGTTTAACCGGCCTCGCGAGATGCATCTTGACTGACATTACAGCCCCTAGAGCTCAGACACAGCCACCGTTTGCCCCGTCTTACTCATGCGAGTGCATGCTTGTGTAACGTGACACAACGTTGTCAGCTCTGTGAGCGGGCTCATACGCGCCTTCTGTTGCAGAGCGACCTTCTGCGTAGGGAGCCCTCGGAGCCTTGGAGTGACGGCCAGGCCGCCGAGACGCGATAATTCAGCCCTGTGTTGGAGTGAAAATCTAGGAATAGAAATCCCTAGTTAGACGCATAGCGTGATCTGCGGCCTCACCCGGTGGCTGGAATTAGGGGTTCACAGGCTGGACCCTGCAACTAACAGGAAACGGTCGCTCGCGTATTCGGGCGTTATCGATCGCTCGCCATGCTTGATCGCAGCCTCTTCAACTTTCATAGTCTGCGCCTTGACGGGACTAATTAGGCCTCGAAAGTCCCAAGATTTCGAGGCAAATCGTTCTATTGGCGCGTTATAAAGAGACCGTACGGATGGTACCAAGGCACCCGAATCTGCGTGGCGACCAACAAGCGCTGCTGAATATTACCGGATACGAAATTACGAACGGCCCAGGAGCTCTTTCAGGACATCGCGTCATCCAGGCGCTACGCCGTGCTACTCAGCTCCAGTAAACCCGAAACAGTCGTTGTGCTGAGAAAAATGTTTACACATGAACTGTAGTGCCACGTGAAGAGGGAGACCTCAGCGCAATATTGACCACAGCCATCAGGTGCAAGCCAATTTACGAAGATGGCTACCATGAGACGAGCGAATTCTGCAATTACGGAGATACTGTGGAGATTGGAAAAGAGTCCAATATGTACACAGGAGACAGGAGCGGGACGCTCATTTCGCGTTCCAAGGACACAGTGCGACGCGCCGCATCAGTGCGGGCGACGTATGGTGAAATGCTGTCCACCTCTTACCATCAGCCGCTCTCTACTGGGAAGACCGTTACATGGGCAAATGACGTGTAGGGTGTTTGTAGTTCCTCTTGAATCCGTGCGCAGACTACAATCCAAGGTATGTAGTAGTCTTGTCGGACCGAGCGGGGATCAGCCCAAGCCGCCAGACATCATAGTCTGCCGTATTTGGACATTTTTAGATACACGTGGGTGGTGCGATGTTCAGCCACAACTAGCAGCGTCTACAATGTCAATGGGATCTGTATGGTTGGCCACCGTTATTTGGTTGGTGAATTTCTACGTACCATGGTGACCTTGTGTGTGAAAAATTAGTAGTTTTGCTTGGAGCGAAAATTCAGCAGGAATGCATTCAGAATCGTAACGGTCGTCCGGCTGATGTATGGCGACTGTAGAAAGGTCCCGTTCGCTTTCCATCTTCGACATGGCACGGTAATACTCACCACATCAAAGGAGCTTGCAGTCGTGATCGTGTTGCCACTACCGCATGCAAAGCAATCATGACCAACACGTAATGAGCAAGATGGATTGGAAATTATTAGGGCAGGTAAGCAAGGTAATTCTATGATAAGTACAAAAGACACGAGGCTAAGGAGCTGCCTCTTGTTCCGCGCCTTGATCGCCGAAGCGATGTGTTCAATTTGGATCAGATAAAAAAGAAAGAAAAGCAAGGCATATGGAAAGAGAAGCTCACAGCCTAGACATCAAACGAAATGATCGACCATGGAATCCAAAAGCTCCAGCAAGCCCGTATGCCGCCGTCCGTGTTGTACTTTTGTCCATCCGCCCCGCTTTTGAAATGAAATGCAAGTCGATCCCCAAACACCCCCATCCTAGGTATCGAACTCCGTCAAATGAGGTTTTCCGTCTATACGCATCCGAGCCGTAGGTAGCCTGCAAATGCCACAAATTCTTAATCGACCGACGCTGTCCAACTCCCCGAAAGCCAATCTTGCCCACGCCAGCCTGTCCGAAGAAACCGTCCCATATCAAATTGCACCGCAAGATCCGCGCTCCAGATGATCGATACCTATTTTACGAGAGTCTTTATGCCGGTGACTTGTTTGCGGGGTTGGAAACGTTGCGGCGATCGTCGTTCATAGAAAGAGACCCGAAGCCACTCGAAAGGAAAGCGAAGGGATCGTTGCGACCATCACCGCCGTTGACGGCACCCTGGCTGGGGTAGGGGTCGGCAGAAGAGAATGCGGCTTCAGCTGAGCGACTGTCGAAGGGAGTGGAGTGCATGCCACCATTGGGCACGTACTGCGCACCCATAGGAGGGTAAGGGCTAGCGGCGCCCATACCGGATGGCAGAGCGTAAGAGCTAGGAGGACCGCCATACTGTTGAGCTGGGAAGCCACCGCCGCCGTAGCCAGCTGGACCGTAAGGACCGCCGCCGGGAGTGCCACCCATGGAGGGAGGGCCCATACCGAAGCCGGAAGGAGTATCCATAGGCGAAGGGAAAGCAGAGTCAGCCACAACAGCAGCACCGGCACGGCTCGCTCCGCAGCGGAGACAGGCGGTGTTCTTTGCAAAGTTGTGGTAGCCGCAGCCGTTCTCTCCGCACTTCCAGTCTCCAGCCCTAAAGGGCACAGCGCCGGTGCCACCGCGCATATGCCCGCCACCCATTCCGTGGCCGTGGCCATGACCCATGTGGTGTTGAGGGGGGCCCATCATGCCAGGGTGACCACCATATCCGTAACCGCCGTAAGCCATGGGATCACCACCTGGTGGGCCCTGCTGCATGGCGGGGAAAGAGCATCGGAAGCAGGCGGTACGACGCTGGAAGTTGGAGAAGCCACACGAGGGGCAGTTCCAGTCACCGGGACGGGGACGGTTCTTGCTAGGGGGGAAGGGGACGATGATGTCGCCAGCGCGATCAATGACACGGCTTGAGGACGGCGAGACCTCGATGGCCTTCTCGTTTAGAGCGCGTCCGTTCATGCAGAGTGATTCTGCAGCCTATTCAATGTTAGCATATTAAAGCGCGAAGATTGCTGACGCAGTACATACCTCTTCGTGGGATGAGAAGATCGCAAAGCCAGTTCCGGTGGGCTTGTGCTGGTCAGGAGTGCGGAGGGTCCAGAACGCAATTGGACGTCCGCCAAATTGGGTAAACCAGCTCTCTAATTCCGACTGCGTAGTGTCGTGCGGAAGGCCGCTCATGTGCAGAACCTTGCTTCGCTCCGACAAGAAAGCGCGAACGTCGGCGCGGGCATCCATGGGTTTAGTCAAGACGTCGGGGTGGTCCTGGGGTGGTTGCGACTTGCGAATCAGTCCGCGAAGAACGCGAGCAAGCGTGACAGCCTCTTCCATGGCCCGGCGGGGCGAAGCGGGCGCGAGGGCTTGCAAGTGAAAGGGCAGGTTGTGCTTGATGGGGGCCGACGACTGGACAGGCTCCACCTCAAGCGCCGCACAGATGTTTGTCAAGGCGCTGGAGCCAAACGGAAGCGACTCTGGGTGGTGTGCCTGCCACCTCTGGTATTCTGTGCGGAGGTCGAAGGTGCGGGAGTGTTGGAGGTAAGGAGGAAGAACGACGGCCTTGTCGCGGGCTTCGCGAGGGAGCTGGACGCGGAGGTCCCAGGAATCTAGGGTCACGAAAGCGAATTCCAAGTTCTTCGGGCCAATATGCTCGTTGTAGAAGTTACTGAAACGGTCGACGGCGTCGCGGAAGGAACCGGCGTTGCGGACCTGGTCCCATGTGAGGGTCGTCAAGCTGGCTGTGCAGGGTTCGACGTCAGCGGAAATTGCACAAATTGTGGACCGTAGAGGTGAAGAGCAAACTTACTGCATAGGGCCGTGATTGGCGTGTTGACAGGCTTAACGAGGACCGACTCACGATGGAGCTGTTGTTGAGTTAGCGATTGAGGTCGGCATTGGATCTGACTGACATACCTCCTCGCACGACTTTGCATCGAGCAGGATCCAACCGAGCTCAATGACCTCGGCAGAGTCTTTGGTAACATACACCCCGTGCTCGTCGCAGGTGGTAGCTACATGGATTACAACGTAGCGGTCCAGGTTGGCCGCCTGGGGGCTGGGGGTGGGTTGAGAAGCCATATCTATGTTGCTGAAAGGGTCAAGATTAGCCTGGTATCCTTGGGTATCTCAGAGCAAGCTGGCAATTGAGGTTCTTGAGGTTCGGCGGGCGACGTCTGTTGGGGAAGGAGGTACGACGGTCGGCGGAAGGAGAAGGCGCGACGGGCGAGTACGTCAGCGGGGAGCCCAAGGTGAATGGTGAAGAGGAGTGGGGAACAGCTGGCAAGCTGTGAGGGCGTGAAGGGGAAAACGGAGCCTCGAGGTGACGGAGGATACGGTGAGATGAAACCAAATGCTACGAGATGGGGACGGACGACCTGAGGCTCCGTGCAATGATCCCGGGCAGATTTCTTGACGTGGATAGCAGAGCTAAGGCACAACTTCCAGATCTTGGCGGGAGCTCGACGTTAGTCCGCCTAGTGCCGGGCATGTCAGAGCGATGTGGGATATAGTGTGACGGTGCTGCAATTGCAATCTGTTCACGGGTTTTATGCTGGCTGAGACTTCAATTGACGTTTCTCTTACCCTTACTTGCCCCGTAGTTGTCCTGCAACGTCACGAAGCAAGGCTAATTTCGACGACGTCGCTCCAAATTTCCAGACGCAGGACGGCGTGCAGCAGGCCATGCCACGAGTACGGCGGACAGCAGCTCCCGCAGCCGCTCGGCAGAGCTGTCTGTACCCATCTGAAACACTCTCCGCCCTCTGATCCAATGTTCCACGCGTC